GAAAAGGCAGCACGTTTCGGATCCGGTTCGGTCTGACCGTCACACCAACAGCTCGTGAACCAACGGAATCGCACACGGACTGATCATAGGCCAAACTTGTTCGGTCGAGAGATCCAGCGAAGGAAGCACGTTGTCGTCACAGCGTGGGCATCGCTCGGACACGGAAGGCAACCGAAGTGGAAGGAGAAAGAAGCGTCCCATACGAGGGGCGCTTTTCTCTTTAGTTTGATCTTCAAACTCTCTGTGCGAGTGACAGTTGCGATCGTTCGGCGAGCGACGGACTAGGTGACGACAAGCAACGGATACCCGGGTGACGGCCACTGGTTGGACCGCACGGCGAGTGGCACTCCTTGCGCCACAACGGCGAACGACGGACTGGGTAGTGCTCGAAGGCGGAAGTGCACGACGTCGACCCGCAACAGTGAACTCTGTGACGAACAGCAATTTCACTACCACACGGAAAGGGCGATAGAGCGACGATTGTCTCGACGGTCGTAGGCGGAGGTGCGCGTCGACAGCTAGCTCCGAAGATATCTGGAACGAGTTGGCGCGAACGTTCGGCAAGTCTCCGGTCTGACGACGGAGGGAAGCCGATAAGCCGGTACGTCGACGAGGCGCATGGGTGCAGTGAGGCCATGAAGCAAGTCCCTTAGTGGCAGCAACGACGGCGAGCAGGAGAAAATGTGAGTACGTTCCAATGTACGTAGTGGGCGGAAGCTTTGCGACGCCGAAGAAAATAAGGAAAAGCCATGTAGTTTAGCGAGCCCTAGTTAGGACCAGAAAGAGGATTAAGAACAGGAGAAAGAGAGAGAGAGAAAAGGAGCAGTGGATAGAAAGGGGGAGTATGTGGGAAGTCAGAATACACATTTGTTGATGGCATATATTCTCAAGTTTTGTTTTATTAGTTGGTGCACATTGCCCTAAGTGTTTTGATTGGTCCGCCCTATGGTAGTTTTGCTCTACCGCTACCGGGGAACTGTAACACTTGTTCCTACAGCGTAATCCGAACAGCATTGAAGACTTTCCAGAAGTGTTATACGAAGCGGCAACAGCAACCATCCCAAAGACCATCACCTACGCTGGTGGAATGAAGATACGAGGAAAGCCGTTTAAGCCCGGCGTAAAGCACTTCACCGTGTAAAGCGGACATCCCGACCGCGAGGACGCTCTCCGTCACTACCGTGAGTCGCACAATCAATGCCGGCAAGAAATCCGTGTCGCCAAACGAACCAGCTGGATGGACTTTCTGGAAGGAATGGATTCGTCACAGTCTTCGGCCGACTTATCGAGGCAAGTCAACACCCTCAGTGGGAAACGGCGCATGACACCGCTACACGTACAGATTAACGGTGAAGCGGTATCTGACCCTGCAATTGTAGCGGACGAGCTCGGCTCGTACTTTGCCGATCCCGCAGCCATCGAGAATTACGAAGACGGATTCAAGTGGAAAGCTAAGCCTTCGAGTCATCCATCGCAAGTTTCACTGTTTCTTCTGACACTGGGAACTCGGACGTCAGCCAGGCATTCTCCTGGCAAGAACCTCTACTCAAGAGGTTACCAACGCCAGGCCAGCTACGGATGCTGGAGCTTTTCAACAAGCTATGGCTCACCAACTCGTATCCAGCGTGCTGGAAGGAGAGCTTAGTCATTCCCATCCCAAAAACCAATGAAACATCCCGTGAAGTTAGCAAGTTCCGGCCAATAGCCTTGACATGCTGTATGGCCAAGGTCCTGGAGCGAATGGTCAACAGGAGGCTAAAGCATTTCCTTAAAGCCGAAAACCTGTTAGACCATCGACAGCACGCCTTCCGTCAACGGTACGGAACGTCAACTTATTTCGCAGCATTAGGGGAGGTCCTCAAGAGTGCCAACGATAGCGGTCTCCACACCGAGATCGTCTCGCTGGATATTTCGAAGGCCTTCAACAGGACGTGGACGCCCTTCGTTTTAGAGCAGCTTGTCAACTGGGGGCTGTGCTTCATCAAAAATTTCCTGACCGATCGTTCTTTCAGAGCCGCAGTTGGCAACACGAGGTCCCAGCTTTTCAGAAAAGAGATGGGCGTCCCACAAGGTTCAGTTATCACCTTTACTTTCTTCCTTGTGGCCATGAAAGGAGTTTTCGGAGGACTGCCGAAAAATGTCCACATTTTCGTGTATGCTGATGATATACTTATCGTAACTACCGGCCCAACAGCAGCATGGATCAAGGCCCAGGCAGCAGTCTGCGCTGTAGAAAGGTGGGCCAGCGCGGTAGGTTTCCAGCTTGGTCAGGTGCCACGTGTGTCCATTCCGGCACTGAAGAAGACGGTCCGTACTCTGGGGGTACTTGTTTACCGGGCCCTCAACTTCGAGCAGCACTTTAAGGCGATCAAGAACGACTGCCGCAGTAGGATCAACTTGATCCACACCACCTCTCGCCCCCACCGGTCTAACAATCGCGACACTCGTTTCCGGGTTGCAAGTGCCGTCATCGATAGTCGCCTACCGTACGGTTTTGAGATGACGTGCATCGCCACCGAAAAGCTCGTGCAGATACTAGCACCAACTTTCAACACCTACGTTCGGATTGTCTCCGGTCTTCTTCCGTCAACGCCCGCCGATGTCGCATGCATCGAAGCGGGTATTCTGCCCTTCCGCCATCGTATAACCGCAGCAACTGTAACGAAAGCCGCTGCCTTTACAGCAATGATCTCCGGAAATGACAGAATCTTTCTTCTCGATGAGGGAAACAGACTCCTCCACATGACTGCCAATTTGGAGCTCCCCCAGTGGCCAAGGTCCACTGGTACGGAGAGAGTCGGATAAAGAGCAGGTTCAAGGCTGGAGATAACTCTGCAGCGCTGAGGAGAACAGTAGCCAAACTGCTAGGTTCGAACTACCCGACCCATGTCCTTATATACACGGCCGGATCGCTATCCCGAGCTGAGGTCGGAATTGGAGTACCCGGAATTTCAACACCGATGAGTAGCAGCCTACCGCCACAATGCTCGGTTTTCTCCGCCAAAGCTGCGGTCATCTTTGTTGCCGTTACAACACCCTCGGACCGGCCCATACTGGTGCTATCCGATTCGTACAGCGTGATACAAGTCCTTACATCTGAGACCCCGACTGGATATAGCGTATCGTGAAGGCCACACCTCCGAACACGGTGTTTTTCTGGATCCCTGGGCACTGCGGTATCCCAGGAAATAGCGAAGCCGACAGCCTCTCAGGGTTTGGACCAGCTGGCCCCCGTTACACCGACGAAGCGCCACTACAGGACATAAAGCGATGGATAGTCAGCAAAATATGGGAAGTCTGGGAAGCAGATTGGTGCCAATCCCAATCCCTCTTCATCCGAAGAATCAAAGGAACGACGAGCAAGTGGACGGATATGTCGAAACTACGGGTCCAGAAGGTGGTTTCTCGTCTTAGGACAGGCCATACAAGGATCTCACATAGTTTTGGTGGGACGCAGTTTCACAGAATGTGCTACGTTTGCGGAACCACTGCTTCGGTGGAACACATCCTGTGCCTGTGTCCGCAATACCAATATCTACGGGAGCAGTACGCACTTCCCAACAGCATTAGGGACATATTGGGCTACGAGCCTTCCACTTTAGCGACAGTTATTTATGTCCTCGAGGACGCTGGGCTATACAACAACATTTAGGTCCTTTTGACTTTCTTTTGGCGGACGTTACATCTCTGCCGGACGGGAGTTTACCCCTCCTACGGTGGAGCTCCGATCTCTTTTAGAACCCTACGAAACTTTGATGTACCAGATGGCTTTTTTTCGTTGCCTGGAATCTGTTTTAATTGCTTTTAGTTGAGTACATGTGAATTGTAAGCCAACTCCGTAACCCTCTTGGGCCTCCTATTTTATAGAGATGAACTAGCCAACGGCTAAAAATCTCTTGGATAAAGACAAAAAATCGTTAATAACTTGAGTACATAACCGTTTCTTGTTGTGTTTGTCGTATCTGTCAATTGTCAATCTGTTTGCTGAAAATAGCTGGGAATGTCTTAACTAAAGAGCCTGAATTTATAAAGAGACGACATCTTATCCATTTGACAGATCTTCTGCTCGATTGGAATGACTTTTCCTATGACTTTGACAGACAATCGATTGTTCCAATTTTGACATGTCGCCTCTTTATAAATTTAGGCTCTTTAGTCTTAACATGGCCGTGAGGATGCAAACAGAAAGTCGACGCAGAGAATCACTCAATGTTACTTAGGACCTAAGGCAATGTTCAGCTTGAAATGAGTGTCAAAGCTCAACGTATCTCGTTCGCATGCAAATCGAAATGAACCACCCTAGAATTCATTTAAAGTAGCTCTATCAGCTTGATTTGGCTGTGTGCATCTGGCGTTAAACTTTCCCGTTCCATCTTCTGCCAAAGCTCCAAAATCCCATCCCAGATGGCATTAGTCTTGATGTAAACCATGCACTCGATTTTCCACGGTTCATTGACTGTTCGTCACGTGCCCAGCAGGTTTCCACTGGCAGAAAATCCCATTCGTTCGGGTCGTGCAATTATCGCTAATGCCTTTCTCTCTTTCGTGGTCGTGGTCGTCGTCGTCATCGTTGTCGTCGCGACGTGGTCCTTGATCGCGATTTCGCAAACTTGTTTACCTGTTGACTTTGGATTCGCATCCCTTCATCGGTCGTCAGCTGGCCCGGGACCTCTTAGAAGGATATTTAAAACGAATGGAAAAACAGGTATTTTTAGTGAGCCGTCGTCGTTTGTGTGGGAAATGAGCATGGAAATGAGATGTGGGAAAATTCGTTCATTTTTCCACCTTGTTATTTACCACCATCATATCGTCATCACGCAGGACCAGGACGACTGCTGTGGAACTGCGAGTTGTTGTCATGGGTCTGTTTTCCCTACCTTAGTTTCCGTTTTTGTTGCTACTGTTCAAGTAGAAACGCTAAAATTAGTTATTTAATTGCTCTATAATTGGATTGTTCTGTTTGCTTCCATAATATTTTCTGTCTCTGTCTATCTTTGCAGGTTGTTTGTCGGAGCTTTCAATTATCATGAAAGGAGCTTAACACGGTGGATTTCAAGTTCAAGGTACGCTAGGGAGTTGTTATTGAAATTTTATGCGCTGATAAATCTTCCGAAAAAAAAATAACAATTATTAAAATTCTCGCCACTATTTTGACCATTATTCAAAGCGAACCAAAACATTCTCTTCACGTTTTTTTTTGTTTTGATTGTTTCTAAGTCAAGGCTGTCTACGCAGCAGAGCCTACTTCACATATTAGAATAGCGCATAAATTGAACGGTTCTCACTTGTCCAGTGGTTCAGTGGTCGGCCGATCGGCAGAAGCAACAGAAGGATGAGGCCGGGAGTCGGGTTGGCGCTAATCTCATGTACGTCTCCGAACGCAAACATGTGTGCCGGGTCGGGGCACGTTCGCACGCCGAAAGAGCTCATCATTGTTTGATTATTCCATTCACACCCGCGTGTGTTCGAATTCAAACATTTCGGCGCTTCGGTGGCGAAGCTCGAGTTGACATTGGTTCGATTTTTTTTTCTATTCGGCTTGATTTCATCTTCTTTCCCGCTTCCCGTTTTGATAGCACGTCTCTCTTGCTGGCCGATCACAATCCGACGAGGGGGTTGTGGATTTAGGTTGAATGATGATAGGTCGAACTGGTTTGATCAGCTGTTCAGTACGCATTACCTCTTTGTCAGAGAATAGATTTATGCGTGAGGAATTTTTTGCTATTTACACCGTTTGCTTCAAATGGGAACTGGGCCACCGTCACGCACATAACGGTTAACAATGAATGTTAAGTTCGAAAAAGTGGCCCAGAAAAGTGCTGCAAAATATTAATATCAATACCTAAAAAATGCTGAATTTCACTAGCCACCTGATGTCAATATCAGTTCACACAGTTAGAATATCAATATCATTCGCCTCAATGTCAGTGTGCAAATGACATTGACATCGTAAAGAGACCTTATATACGCCAGCTAATCGAGTACCGATATTAAGAAAACTCTTCAGTAATATCAAAACAATGCAACGGTTGTACAAAAAAGTTGATTTATTGAGATAAAAGTAATATTTTCAACTTTTCCCTAGTGATATTCATATGGATAGTAATATCAAAGCCGTACCAACAATCAATACGAAACTAACAATTTTAAATTGGCTCACCACTTTAGTAGCCTATTGGTCCCAAGCAAACGATTAACGTACCCTATTCTAGTTGAAATTCTATTACTACACTATGTTTGTTTTGATTCGCTATGAAAGTTTGACAGATAACATCAGGGGTGTGTGGATTCATGCAGAACATGCAGGGGTGAGTGAAATAGCTTGGGACTGCTTGGGACCGTTGTTCTGGTACTGAGTGAGCCAAAAATAATAATGATTTTCTTCGGGACCCAGTGGTCTTAGAGTTACCTCTATGGCCGTACCGCCTGATATCATGCCTTCTACGAATATCAATGTCGGAAGTGAAATTCAGTGCTAGACCAATACCTTACGTCAATTTACATTGTTGACAGCACGCAGCACTGCAAATAACGAATCGGAAAAACTCGACCTAACCTGATTTGCATGAAACTTTGCATAATTGTTTGTTATGGGCAATCATTCACATTTTTTTTTCTAAATTTTGGCCATTTTCGATCTCTTTTTCAAAATAGCGTCCTTGAAATTTTCCAATAAATTATTGCTTGGAAACATGAGAATAGAAGCACTTCTGCTCGAAACGACGTCTAATACAGAGTTTTAGAGAAAAATAATATTTTTTTGGCAAAATATGTAATTTTTGTTTGTTTATTAATTTATCAGAGCCGAGGATTCTTGTTCAATATAAAACCATCTTAAAACTATAGTCAAATAGGTACAACACAACAAACACTTTATCTTCCGCTATCCAATTAGCCTTCTCCATCAGAACGTGATCCGCTTCCAGTTGTTTCATTATATGGCAGTATCGCCAACGGGAGCAGAGCGCTTCGATTGCAGCAATGGACCCAAAACATGATCATCACTCACACACTTATCACTAAACGGTTGCTTTCCAAAGTCGTCGACGCATCGACCGAAAGAACTGCTGATGAAGAACAATGAGAGAGGCCACACAATGGTTGCTGCTGAGCAAACAGACGATCGCGTGACACACATCGAGAGTGGCCTGCTTCTCTCGACAGCCGAGTGAACACTCGATGCAAATAAATCCTTTCGGGGTCTCCCTTAGCTCAGGCAGTGAAGGCGCAGCTACAAAGCAAGAGCATGCTGGAGGTGACTGGGTTCGATTCCTGGTCCAGTCTAGGAATTTATCGGGTTGGAAAAATTCTCGACTTCCCTGGGCATAGAGTATGATTGTACATACCACGCAATTATACTAATGCAATAATGGTACAGGCATCGAAAGCTCTCAATTAATAATTGTGGAAGTGCAGTTGAACACTAAATTGAGAGCACGTATAATGCGATTAGCAATAACCTTGAAAAAGAAGAAGAAGAACTTTTCGTTACTCGCACCAACTTTTGCAACACGAGTACTCGCGCGTTGTAACGGGATATAGAGATAATAGGGAAATAGAAACCGCGTAACCGGTGTCCATCCTCCGAGGGACCGTAACTAATTGTTTACAACATGGAATATCTCGAGATCCTGACCAGATAGAAAGTTACTGTCTTCGGTAAAGTTGTTGCAGAGGTCAAGGTCTTTTGGCTGGTGGGAAGTAGTTGAGAGTTTTCTCACTTCGCGGCGCTAGTATACACGTGAAATTCTCGCATATAAAACATCTTTAAATCCTGACCAGATAGAAAGAAGATGTCTTGGGCAAACTTCTTCAACAAGTCAAGATCTTTTCGTTGATGGACAGTAGTTCATAGCAAATAATTATGCAAAGTTTCATGCAAATCCGAATAGTCGTATGGCTAGTTTTCTTATATGCAATAGACGGTATACTAAAAAAGTGGCGACACTGTCATTATTCTAATAATTTATCTGGATTATTTTGGCTAAGTGGCCTTTATAAGGGTATTTTGAGAAGATTATTGGTTTTCAAATTTCAAAACGATGCAAGTTTCCTAAACATTCCGACTTGAAGAGCCCATCTACAAAGTACTTTAAACTTCATTTAGATTTTCCTTCCGTCTCTATGGTTTACCATACTTTCCGTAACTTTTCAAAACTTATCTGGGATTCATTAAACTATATTAAAACATCTCTTAACTATTAACTGAATAATATAAACTTCTCGCTTATCTGAGTCATTCATGGTTTCCAAGAAAATTCAAAAGCCCAGGATTAACCAAAAATTTTACACGATGCCTCCGATAAAATGTGTAACGGTAAACTTGAAACGTTTGAAATTTTTTAGTTCAGCCATTTATTGAAGAATTTAATTTCTTTTGGCACTAGGGGAAATGACGGCTTCGGCATGACAGACTATTTTCGGCAACCCAAATTGAAACACTATTTTCACTGGATTTTCTTACGATAACACTTCGCTGATTCTTTATGCTTTCAGCTTCAATTTGACTATATTTTTACCACTGAGAAAAAGCAATCTAGCAGGGTTTTCTTGAAATGAAACACACGCACTACAAATTGTAGCTGATTTCGAGTTGCCGATAATAGAACAGCAGATTTACATGCAGTTCAAATGGAACGGTTGCCGAAGAAAAACTGGTTGCCGACAATACTCGCTCTCACTAGAGAAGATTGGAGCTTTGTAAAAGCGTTTCAAAACAATTTTTGACAATTCTTTCGACTGAAATTGTTAGAGCAGCTGGCAGCAAAAGATTGTAAACAAACCAATACTGCATATGTGTGCGTTCCATAGAGAAAAAGGCTATTGAAAGAAGGTTGCTGCTTAGGTTGCCGAGAATACGTAAATTCCCCTATTTAAAACTACATAATTTAAAAATTTATTCAGTATCAATAGATTTAAAATCTATTGATTAGTTGCTGAGCAATGATTTTCCAAACATTGCCAATTTTTTACTGGTGGCATCGAGTTCGGAGTGTTAACGTGACTATAGTACAAGCTGGGTATCTCTGTAGCTCCCTGATTTACGAAGAAGTACCTCGAGCTTTATTGAATATCTGAATTTACCTTAAATTTGCTGCATTTCATTAAAATTTGATTCTTATAAAGTTCTCTGATCAAGTTTTAAATTTGCTGAAGTTCTCAAAAATTCTCCTAGTTTCTCTCATATTTGTTTGATTATTTTCTTCCCAGAAGTTTTCTTATGATGTATGGACTCATTTGAAACGCTTCACTAACATTACCTGATTTGTATCATTTTTTATTCAACGCTTAGCCTAATTTAAGCATTATTTACCATGCTCGAAACAGGTTTCTAGAATTGCACAACAGTAAGGTATTTTATGCCTAACGTCCATTATGCCTAACGTATATTATGCCTAACGTCCATTACGCCTAATGACTTTATGCCTAACGTCCATTATGCCCAACGTCCGTATGCCTAACGTATTTATGCCTAATGGGGTACACTCATTCCCACAGCGCGCAAACTCTGAAACGTCGCTTCGTTGAACTTCTAAATGCTTCTTCATTCGACCAGTCAGCGTTCGACCTAACGGTTCGACACCCCTCTGGGCAGTCCGGACAAACAGTAGCTTCATGGCATTTTATCACCCCGTCCGGCTGAATAGACACCGTAATTATTCAATCGCTTCCTCTGCCGGGTCGTCTCACGTCGGGTCGACTCACCTACTGCTTGCCACTGATTATAAACAAATAAATAAATAGCACTGTGATCCCCTAATTCGTGACTGGAAAGCCAGCGAAGTGCGCACTTGTCGTCATTCTGCGAGGTATTTATGGTCGCATTGAGCACATTTCCATTGCTGCCTAGAGTTGTTTTAAACTTTAAAGTATGACTGCGATGAACTGCAAAACTAACTTTATTAGCCTGCTCCCTCCCCTCCGCCCCAGCCATCGCTCAACCCAAGAAAGTGAGGGGGGCGACGAAAAACTTCAAACTCTACGGAGGGAATTACGGAAGTTTTTGCACCTTCAAACCGAACTTTTCTCGCACTGACTGGGGGCTCTGGGTTTGCACCCGGGC